GAGAAAAATGGTAGTCGTTTGTACAGTAACTGCAAAAAGCCCTAGTGAAACAAAGCAAGAGTACAGTAACATCCATTACTGTATTCTTGTTATGTTTTACCTAACAAAAAATAACCGTGTTTCTGCGCAGTGTAGTTACTGTTGCCATGGTGAACACACAGCTGATTTTCGGGCATCCTCACGGGACGATTTTAACATTCGCGATTTCTCTAACTTCCCCTAATTGTTCCCCTACCAAACTATCCGCCTCCCCTGAAAGAATGAAAAAAATATTCCAGAAAGAAAAAAAAGGTGCACGAGCTCCATAGAGCTGCCATAACTCCATAGAGCTGCCATAACTGCCATAACTTTAGCGGTTACTATGATTTTCGCGATAGCAGTTCAGTACACTTGAAAATTAAATCGTGATAGACTACTGTGAATGTTAAACCGCAATAATAGTAGGCTACTATTAAATACAAATCCTACAAGTTCTGTGAATAAATGGTGCAGTCGACGCGCAGTTTCATTTAACACACGCACACACACACACACACACACACGCGCTGAGGCACGTGTGACGCTCAAGCTGTTTTTTGCCTCCAGACTCCAGATCAGCTCTTAAAGTCACTTTGTGAGCATTTAACCGCTTCATTTGAGAAAAGCTATGGTCATGTCATAAACACAGAAACTCAAAGGTCTTCACGGTCGGCAACCCGTCAAAATAAAAGTTCAGTTTAACTTGACAGAAATTTACTGTTGTACAGTAGAATTTAGAAACGTCTCAATGTAATAATAATACTACTAATACAAATAAATTAAGATTAAAACTTAATTTTTATTCAATGTTTTCATTTTAACAGTAAAGCTCATTGTGCAGCATGTTGTTTGACCAAAAATGTTTAATTTCATATGATTAAAAGAAATGTAATTAATAATATATTAGAATTTTTGTATATTTTATTTGTAATATTCATAGAATATTTTTTAAATATTGTATGTTTAATAATAGTTTATAATAAAAGTGTCATGATTTCAATTAATTAGACATGATTTTTGATTACTAAAAATGTACACCACGTATCCGTCACACACCCGCTCCGCAACACTAGTTTCGCAACACAAAAATGTTGAAAAAAATGTTGTCCAAATGGTTCCAATTATTTCAAATACAGTGTATCTAACACACCCAGAGCCTAAGTTGTGGCAAAATAGTTTTTGGAGAATCTGTAGTTACTGCCTTTTTCCTTGGTATGGTGCCACGTTTTTGGTAAGTAATACAAAGCAAGAATACAGTAACTGCAAAATAGGGGTAAAATATCAAATTAAATATGAGGAGTGATATGTACAAAGAATAAGCTAATATAAAGTAACAAAACAGCCACATGTCCAATAATCTACCTACAACTACTTAGGCTGGATGACAGGATAACTTTAAAGTCATTTTTCTCTGTTCTGCACTCTGCGTAGTTACTGCCTTTTTGCTTTGTAGGGCAGAATGGTCATGAGCTTTGGGTCATGACCGAAAGGACAAGATCCCGGATACAGGCGGCCGAAATGAGCTTTCTCCGCAGGGTGGCTGGGCGATCCCTTATGCCGAGTTCAGACTGCACGATTTTAGCCCCGATTTTGGCTCGCCGACAGGTTTTGAGAAATCGCCGACAAATGCCCGAAATCACAGGCAAATCGGTGCTCGTTCACGCGAGTGACAATCACGCAGTGTGAATGAGCAAAGACGCGATCTGAGAGAATCGCCGACGAGTCGCCGACGCCCGTGAGATATTTGGCATGCTAAATATCTGGACCTGTAGGCGATTCACAATCCTGCTGTGTGAATGTGTTCTGACTGAAAACTACATCGGCGATGACCGACAGCCAATGAGAGAGCAAGATACAGGGAGGAGGAGGAGTTATAGACCAGAATATCAGTATTTTAATAGATAGGCCTATATTTACAATTATATCAAACAAACATTTGCATGACCAGCAGCAACAGCAGGACATTTGCAAAATGTTTACAATACACTCTCTTTGCAAAACACAGTCCTTGCTCCCCTCGTCTTCCCAACCATTTCCTGCATAAACTGTTTTTTTTTTTTCATTTTCGCTACAAATCAGTGCACAGACAATTTGTAGGCTATCATTTTTAATAACAAATTCAGTGTCGCGCGAGAACTCCGGTCTCACGCACGCTTGATCTTCCGTTATTTCCTATCACTTCTCGCGTTTGTTTGGTTGTGAAACGTAGTTTGCGGACCAGGCAGAAGTTGTCGGCGATTCTTTCTTTTGTAAAGTCATGCAGTGTGAAACCTCCTGTCGCCGATCCATCGTGCAGTGTGAACACAGCAGCAACTGAATGTTACCCCAGATAGTCATGCAGTGTGAAAACAACAGTGACCCGATTATTTTGAAAATCGTGCAGTCTGAACTCGGCATTAGAGATAGGGTGAGAAGCTCGGTCACTCGGGAGGAGCTCAGAGTAGAGCCGCTGCTCCTCCACATCGAGAGGGGTCAGCTGAGGTGGCTCGGGCATCTTTTCCGGATGTCTCCTGGACGCCTTCCCGGGGAGGTGTTCCGGGCACGTCCCACTGGGAGGAAACCCCGGGGAAGACCTAGGACACGCTGGAGAGACTATGTCTCCCGGCTGGCCTGGGAACGCCTCGGTGTCCCCCCGGAAGAGCTGGAGGAAGTGTCCAGGGAGAGGGAAGTCTGGGCATCTCTGCTCAGACTGCTGCCCCCGCGACCCGGCCCCGAATAAGCGGAAGAAGATGGATGGATGGATGGATATGCTACTGCACTGCATAATATTTTATTAAAATAAATAAAAGTATCCTTCAGTGACAGTATTGTTACGTTAAACATATCACATCAACATCCGCGGGCGGCGGCTCTTATTAGGTGTCCTATTCCCGCTCAAAGTATCGGCCAACGAAATGATCAGGGCTAGGAATCCCGTCACATTTACATCCATAAACTGACTGCACTAACCTGTCTTGATAAAGAACATTTTGACAGACTGATTTAGTAGGCCTAGTTCTCCTGACCTCCCCTCTCCTTCTTTTCATGACGTTACTGGTGGTTCCCAGATTTTTCCTCCACATTTTCAGCCAGTCTCACTTCTAACTTTACTTTTAACTTAAACTGTTCTCGGAACAGCCTTCGTTCTGTTCACTAGCTGGGGTGGGACTTTATTGGGCCACTCTGCTGTCTGTCACTGACTGTGCTGAAATAATTAATAACGGACTAAACCATTTTTGTGGAGGGGAGATACCGAAGATATTTGGATAATTATTATTTAGTGCTTATATTCAGTGCTATTAAATTAAAGATAAAATATAATAGAGCAATAGAATGAACAGTGAAAGTGAAAGTAACAGAAGTTCCTAAAAGACATAATTAGGCCTTTTTAAAACGTGAAAATAACTGAAGGAAATATCTATTTGTTAAATGAATTAAGCAGACTATTTTGATTCATATTCTTGTGGTTACTCTACCCAACGTTTTTAAAAAATTAGAAATGCAATGAATTTACAGGTATCAGCACTCAGTATGGGCAAGTACCAAAAATTAAAGTATCGGTATTGGACTTCTGGAAAAAGTGGTATCGGTGCATCTTATGATGGTCTTACTACAAATACCACAGTATTGGTTATAATGCCAAATTTTTTATTTTAAAAGCAGATAAGACATAAACCTCATTTTAATATCTTACACACAACAGCTTGTAGTAAAGCTGCTATATTTTGCTGTGTAGCCTACTTCATAATCAGTGGTAAAAACATAAAAATAAAAAAGTTGAGGAAAAGAGATTACCTTAATCATTCATCATACAGATTCCTAATGCCATGTTCAGATTCTGCACCTGTTAGAAAAACAAAATAGCAAGACAGACATTGGGTATAAGAAAGAAATCTAATAAGGGTGTATATATATATATATATTTCATCTTGGGACACTTCTGAATTGCTCCTTCAAAACACCGGCTCCAAGTGTTTCAATAATATTCAGATCTGGCGACTGTGCAGGCCATGGGAGATGTTTAACTTCACTTTTATGTTCATCAAAGCATTCTGTCACAAGTTTTGCTGTGTATTTGTTGCATTATCATGCTGATACACGGCACCACCTTCAGGGTACAATGTTTGAACCATTAGGTGCACATGGTCCTCCAGAAGGGTTTGGTATCTTTGGCAGTGACGCACCCATTAAGCACAGCAGGGAATGCCATTATATTGCAGCCCAAACCATCACTGATCCACTCCTGTGCTTCACTCTGGGCAGCAACAGTCCAGGTGTTACGCCTCTTTGGGGCTTACCATCATCCTGAACAGATTTGGGAAAGACAGTGAAGGTGGACTCATCAGAGAACAATACATGTTCAAATTGTCCACAGCCCAAGATTTGCACTGTTAACTTGGCACCAATGAAACATTTGGCATCGGCACAAGTGACCAAAGGTTTGGTTAATATATCTTCCTCTTTCAGACAGCTTCCTCTGGCATCGACAGTTACTCCTGTTGGATGTGGTTTGTCCTACGTGTTGGTGTGCTGACATTACCCTGGATACCATTGCTCTCGATACACCACAAAGACTTGCTTTCCTGGTCACAGATGAGCCAGTGAGACACACAACAACAATTTGTCCTCTTCTGAACTCTGATTTGTCTCCCATTTTGTTGTGTGGATTGCAATAATTTATGCACAGCTGCGCTATTGCTCTGCTAGTTCTACCTTCACATTCTGCTCTTACTGATCAATGTAAAATCAGTGAAGATTGGCTACCAGATTGACCAGCTCCAACACTATATTGGCCAGTGTGTGTTGGCCCCTGTCTGTGTCTGTGCATATACTCTCTGCAGCAACATCAAATCAATTCTAGGACATGACAGTTCAAATACAGCATGAAAAAATGTGTTGGACTACAAATCCCACAAACCGTCAGCTGCGCAGTGATCGTCAGCGGTGCGTTGTGGGTAGCTCGACTTGTAGTTTCTCGTGGAACAGGCTGTAGAACAGGGTAACTGGAGTTAGTCATCTTACAATCGGAGTATGTCACACCGGGTTGAAGGGCTCCGGCAAACGTACGAAGGGTAATCAAGAAGATACAAAGGCGATACCAGACTAAAACATAACGTTTCATAACTTTTGAACTAACATCAAAACGCGCGCAATGAGTTCTAACGAGCACTCACTTCAAGCTTTGTCATGGAGAAAACTTTACTTGAGTCGAGCTAAACTTAAAGCGACCAGCAGAACCTCTGCCCTGCTCTCCGGCTTTGCTATGGTGAGTCAATAAAAGTCATTACTTAACACTTTGTATGTAAAGGAGAAACGTACATTGCTCGGAAGCCTGGCAAGTTTTTCGGAGTTATAGCGTTGTAATATGACGCGTGACATGTCAATCACTCTGATATGCAAACGACACCTGTCATAGATATAGCGTAATCAGAGGTAACTTAGAGAGTTTAGCCTTTTACACTAGCCTTGTTAATCTTACTTCGACATAACTCTCAAAAGTGTTAGTTCAGTGGTGCTCTCGGTGGTGGGGATTTCATTCCAGCAGTGATACGAATCTTTGAATCAGTAGACTAAAAAGATTCATTCTCATTAAACGATTCAGTGGCCCTTTCTGTACTTTACATCGGTATGCCGTTAGGGGGCGGGGACAGTAGGTGTGTGTGTGTGTGTGTGTGTGTGTGTGTGTGTGTGTGTGTGTGTGTGTGTGTGTGTGTGTGTATCATTCACTCAATAGATTCGCGTACCTGACGACGATCTATGAAGCATCATCCTGAACGAACGAACGAACGAACGAACGTCGTCTCACTATCGTTCAGTCCGTCTGCAGAGACTCGTAGTTGTCATCCGAATCTCGTGGAAAACAACAACTTGTTCAGTGAAGTTCAGTATTCGTTTAGCTGGCACAACCAATGAAATGTTACTTCACAACACAAACTCGAATGCTATAGGCTACTGCTGTGCATGAGCCAGTGCATGGGAGCAAACGAGATCGATTCGTTCATTTAAAAGATTCGTTTAAAACACCAATGAATTTAAAATAAAAATACTGCTAATTCAATTGGCTTTCCAAGCTTAACTAATTTGTTTCGTCTTTTACCACAGTAATATTTGGGTAATCATAATATACACTAAATTACTACAGTAATTGACTGTTATACAGTAAAACAAAGGTATTCATTTTCATAGGGAACTTGGTATGTAATATAAAAAAAGAAGACATTTTTTACAATGTTGTGAGGAGGCGTCATATTAATAATTATGATTGTAAAGTAGTAACAATAGCTGTATTAGCTATAGCATTTTTGGCAACAACTGCAGGTACGGTGAACGTTTGTAAGGGCCCCAATATCTTCACTGTGACAGATTTCCGTTTGCTGCAACATTACATCATGGCAATAGGAAATGCACTTCCTTTGACAGTGTTGTGTTAAGAAAACTGATAAAAGTCCATTACAAATTAAATGTAAAATATAATATGGATACTAAAAAGAAGTATTTCGGTTATCATTTTACATAAAATTACCTTCAGTGATTGACTGCTAAATGTGGACAATTAGGCGGTATTATAAACATTACACCATGAAGTTGTTTTGTGAAAAGCACTATACAAAGTTGGCTCGACATTGCTTGAAATTCTATTCAATTAGTTTTTATAAGAAACTGACATTTGTGTTTAAGATGAATACCTGATGGCATTTAGAGTTTTTTTTACAATACACAAAAAACGTTTTGTATAGAAATGGTGACCCAACACAACATTTGTTTATCCTACAAAAGTAAACTATGGTTACTTATGGTAAATGTCAAAATAGTAATACCGTAAAACTTCAAATAGTAGCCCGGGCTTTTATTTACCCAAATCGTCGAACTGCACCGGCTTGTATTTGAGACAGGCGTCTATATGAGACAGGCCTTTATAATTTAGTGTTGAGATGTCGTTCATTGAGTGTATAGGCCTGTCTCTAATCTCTAAAAATCTCCAAATGCTCCACGTGAAACCGCGGTCTTCCGACCTTTTACTATCGCGTCAATTGATTTTGATTAATATGCGCGAGGGAGAGAGAGCAAGACAGCGCTCGTGTTGTTTGAAGACGGGAGAGTGCGCTCGCGCTCTCTCTCTCTCTCTCTCTGCTAACGCGCCCTGTCAAGCGCAGCAGTCATTCTATTCTACATCACTCATCGATCAAAAAAAGGCTTTGGAGGGACAAAAATGTGCTTTGGCGGCCGCCAAAAAGCGGGCGATCTGGCGGTTTTAGAGGATTAAATACAACCCGAAACTAAAAAACAGACCCGGCCTCTATTTGAGACCGGCCTTTATTTACCCAAACCTGCAGCCACACCAGGCGTGTAAAAGAGACAGGCGTCTATTTGGGACTCGGCTATTATTTGAAGTTTTACGGTATGAGGACATGCCATGCAATGTGTTTATTTACACAGACAAATTTACACTGAAAATCTGTAGAGTTTGATTGAATGCAACACAGCCTTTGATCACAATGACTAAAGAAATGGGAAGCATTATCTCTCTTCCCCTATAAAAGTTGATAAGCACATTTATTTTGTTCTCGTAACTACTGTTTCCCTGCTGAACAGACCCTCGATCCACCTGAGAACCAGAAATGGTTTTCCGGAAATGTATGTGTAAAGTGATTGCAAAAGGTGTAATATTCTGTCCGAGGGTGATTATTTCGCTTGAACTTAGTCTCTCTTTACTATAAGCGCTAAGCACAGGAAATGAACTGTAGGAGTGGCTGGAGGAAACTGCAGTTCATAAACGTCTGTCTCTTTAGAGATCGGTGTAAAAATAATGACACATTTCAGTGGTCGTTTTTTTATTTAGATGTACTCACTGCACACGAGTAGAGCACTTCTACTGTAACCTGCTATTGACTTTGAAACACATTTTCTTATCTGTGGCTGCAACTTGTTGTGCGTCTTTCTGTCCTCATTAAGGATTTGTGGTCTGTGGTGTTTTCAGAAGCATGAGAAAAACAGCTAGGCCTAGGCCCTATTTGCAAAATTAAAATGTCTGCCATGCTGGATTTTTTTTTGTTTTTTTTGTTAATCAATACAAAAATATTTAAACATCATTAAAACAAGGTCAGTGAAATTAGTTAGATGTTGAGACTTGCTTTCAGAGAATATAAAATCGATTTCTTCTGCTTGTTAATTTATGTAATTAAAATGAGCTAATGCAACAAAATACTGGAACATTTTGTCACAATTCCATTCCATACAATCAATTTAAATTTATACTTTAAATATATTTGGAGGTTTATTTAATCTATTTACATTTGGATTATATAATTCTCATTGGTCACATCCAAATCCAGATCCAGACACATTGAAAACGTTGGATGCAAGCATTAATGTTTTAATCTAACAATATCTACCAGGGTTATTATAGTTAAGTAAAACCATGAAAAACATTATTGTTAATTGAATATATATATATATATATACACAGTATATACCAAACTAACTAAACTGAAATTAAAAAGTGAATAAGAACAATACATTTAAAAGAAAAAACTAATACAAATGACAAAAACACACGGAAATACTAAAACCTTAACTAAATCAATCAGAGTTCTCTCTCACTGACGGGCAGATGCCGATTCAACCTGTTCAAAATTGAATTAAGTTTTTGCTTAAACCAATTGTTGAGGTTGACTGTGATGTCTTATGTTACCAACTCATGTGTTTTCAGGTAGCGATGGTGGAAGTGCAGTTGGAGGACGATCACTATTACCCTCCTGGCCTATTGATTGCTTTCAGTGCCTGCACAACAGTGTTGGTGGCCGTCCACCTCTTTGCCTTGATGATCAGCACATGTATCCTGCCAAACCTGGAAGCCGTGAGCAACGTCCACAACCTCAACTCCATAAAGGAATCGCCACACGAGCGGATGCACCGTCACATCGAGCTGGCCTGGGCCTTCTCCACCGTCATAGGCACCCTTCTGTTTCTTGCAGAGGTGGTTCTTCTCTGCTGGGTGAAGTTCCTTCCTCTGAAGAATATACAACCTCCCCCGAAAAAGAATGATAGTAGTATAACCCCGGGGGAAGCCGCAGCAATCGCCTCTACCGCCATCATGGTGCCCTTTGGCTTGGTGTTTATCGTTTTCGCTGTGCATTTTTACCGTTCGCTGGTCAGCCACAAGACAGAGCGGCAGGACGAGGAGTTGGAGGTTCTGGCCAAAATCACACAGATGCAAAACCAACTGGATAACAGGGGAGAGGCAAATTTTGCTTAGTCTACCTACTTAGATGAGTCCTTGTTCTCACGCCAAACACTTTCCCAAAATATGGAATGTTGTCACAAATGAATGGACACTAGATGGTAGGAATCAGGGATTCTGCAATATGTTAGTATCACAATATTGTGATGCCTTGTGTTTTTCTTGTTAACATACAAACCTTGATACAGATGGGGAATCTGACATTTGTAACACCACGCTATTGTAAACGGCCATCATCTGTTCAGCCACAAATAATAGTAAGAAATTCAGTTTTAAAGAAATTTTGTTGCGAATACAAAATTCCCTGCTGCTGTTGGCTGTCTAAACTTGCTGAACTTTTCATTTCGCTTCCAGCATAGAAAGTGTCAGTCAAAAACAGTGACAGTTACTGAAAAGTAATAAACATTTAAAAATGTAGGCTTTTTTTTAACATCCTGAGTCAATAGTTCATTGAATAGTAACACCAAAATGTTTGCCAGAGCTGTTTGGTTATTACAGTTCAGTTTCCGTTAGGCCAAATTGTTACATCCAAATGCATGGAAAGCTTTAATAATGTTTTTCAGTATTATAATAATAGACTCATTTTCTTTTCATCTTAATTGCATAATGCAGATAAGTCCAAATACCGGTAATGCATAAGCACACTGTGTGACAGTTAATTTAAAAATGTGATTAATTGGCTCAGAGATTTACCCTGGAAGTGATTTTAAAAAGGCTTTTCACACTGCGCTTAACCCCACGTTATCGTCGCTCTAATGCGAGCTTTTAACCCCAGCCAAAGGAAAGTTTTACACTTGTAATTTAGAAGCAGGGTTAATCAAATTAGTCGAATTGTGACAGAGAATGCGACAATTGGAGTGAAGAAGAGACCGTTTTATTCTTGCCTTTTATAGCCTATACTGAGTTCGTCCAATCAGTGACACTGACACAAATATACAAAAAGGTTAGCCCAGGGTTTAGTCATTGTAATGAGTGAAACGTTGGTTAATAGGTTTAGGTATCGTTTAAATTTTAGCGATTCCGATTCTTACCGATTCCCAGTTTCGATTCTAAAAAGTTTTTTTTTTTTTAAAGACACAAAAAAAAAAACAATTAGTCAAACATTTATATATCTAACTTATTTATTCTGCGTCTTTTTGCAAAACATTCTGTTGCAGATTTGAACAACACTCAGGAGCCTACAGGACCTTTTGCCTACAAGCCAGGGACACACCAAGCCGACGGTCGGCTGTCAGGCAACGTCGGGCCGTTTTCGAAGCAGGGATTTTTGGCAGGATGGCTCTAGTCGGATGCCGTCAGGGTTTTTCCATTAGGCCGTAGGTGAGAGAGAGAGAGAGAACTCTGACTGGCTTTTTTTTTCAGTTTAGCAAACGAGTCAGTGGACGAGAATAGGAGCAAAAGTGATGAAAGGCAAAGAAGTCATGACGCACAGTCATCTTACCTGAGCATTCCTCCACATTGATATTTTAATATTAACATGAGCAGAGTGGAATAAAGAACGTAATCAGCATGATTGATTGATTTCAAAATGGTTAGCAAGCGCTGCTTTGTTTATGGATTGTATTCCTGCAGTCTTAGTTTCGCTTTTCCCTTTTTGAATGACGAATAGCCTATAGATGAATATACCTGCTTAAATAGACGGTTATCTCCTTTCTTTCTTTTTTTAATCTCGGTTATCTCCTTTACACTCAAGCGCAGAACACGCGTGCTAGTTGACAGTCATCTGTAGTCTTTTCGGGGTGTTCAAGATTTTTTGCCCCGACGCAGGCGACAACACCGTCAGCTTTCATTAGCGCTAGTTTTTTGGCGTCGGTTTGGTGTGTCCCTTATGGTTTTAATAAAAATACCACAGCAAAAACAAGTACTAACTATTTCAAACATTATTATTATAGACAAGTAAACAATCAGTAATAAAATAAGAAAAAATAAGCAAATTAGCAATAGCATAAATAAAGGAACCTGAACAAATTTCAGGTACAGAAAAATTACAATTAAAATTGTAATCAAATGTAAAATAATTAGTGATTAATCGCATCTAGATAAAAGTTTGTGTTTATATTATATTTATTTATATATACACACACACACACACACACGCATAGATGCATAGAATATATATGTATATAACTAACACACATATACAAACACAAATGTTTATGTTAGATGCGATTAATCGATTTGACAGTACTAAAAATAATGAATAGTTTTTTTAAATAAAATGTAGATTAATCCTTATTAAAGTTACAAAAGTTATTCAGTCAGGATCAGTGAGTGATTTTCTTTTTCTTTTGCTCTTTGGGTAACATCAAGCAGCAGCAGTTTTGTTAGGCTTCTGTCACTTTAAGACCGAATGCACAGATCCAATATATTGTTAATGTTACATATGCGTTTTCTTGCGTTTATGAGGATATTGTGACATAATTCTGTGTGTATTTGTCCGTTCAAGCGTGCTCGCGCTTTGGATGTGTGCGCAGCACAGAAAACAGCATGCAAGTGCTGTATTTAGTTCTCTCGTGTATTCTTGTGCTTGAATGGTTACGTTAAATTGCACACACAAGAATCAATAAGTGGAATCGAAATATGCATGTCTTATCAAATTCACGATTGTTGGAAATTTGGAACTGGTTCTCGATACCCAACCCTATAAATAAACCCCCAAGATTTACCATTTACCCCAGGTAAATTTTGAGCAGTGTGAAACGTGAAGCAAGATAGTGAAGGGTTAATTTTCAAGTGTGGAAAGCCCTTCATACTTAAGTTTTTATTTAAAATGCAGCTTTAAAAAAGTGTTGTTGAAAAGATTGTGTAACATTTTGACGACCCGTTTTTCCTAAAAACCTGTTTCATAAAAAATTATGGAATTTTTACAAATTACATTTTGTAATTTAGCCAAACAGTGGGTTGCGGCTGGTTTTATTTCAATCATTTATGTGCCAGGCCACATGAAAACATATTTACGTTGCTGCTGTTTAGACCATTAAGACCTGAAATATTTTTTTTAGGGAGCTTTATCTTGCTATTGGCTGAGGCTTCAAACAGCTCAAAATCTTAAATATTGTATATTATTTTGTTTGTTCTGCATGTTTTGTTTGTGTGATTAAAAAATGAGGATTGATTTTTTTTTAAAGAGATATTTCAAAAAGCCTTTTGCTGTGAAGAGGCTATTATAAACAGAGGCTGATATCATTTGTTTACAAATATAATCATCATGAGTAATTTCAAGAGTAAAACTTTTTGTAGGTTTTTGCACATATACTGTAAAGTTATTTGGAAGATTTTTTAATATTTCAAATGATTCAGGCCACCTCCACTTGTGTTACATCTTATATCTTTTGCTAAGTTGGTTTAGTGTTTTATTATTTTGAAATATGTACAAATGCGTGTTTGATAATAAGCCTTTGAAAATAATTATTTTTTTCCTTATGGCAAAAAGGTACTATTTCTAGAAGTAGAGATACTGTTTTACTGGCAGACATTTTAGTTTCTGTGCTTTTTCATGAAGTACTTCTGATGTAGTGACAGTAATGGAGATAAAGAAAAAACAGAGCATCATATTTTTATATTTTATATAACAATTTATTTTTATCCTATATATAAGTGTCTGGGCTGCTCTTCTTTGTGAATCTGTAAAATATCCCCACTTAATGGGGGTTAAAAGAGTCCTTACTTTCATATTTCATTATTTTATAACATGCTTGAGTTTGGAGATGACTCGTGTTTTATTTTATGGCACTTTTCAGCAATCTCCCGTCGTTTCAATTTTCTGTGCCCCCGACAGGTATTTGTCAAATAGAAAATGAGCATTTGCCAAATAAAAATATGTAAGGTGCTGATTGTTTCTTATTGTGTGCCATTTTAAGAGCTGAGATTTATTTTTGTTTAGTTTTTTTCTGTAACTATTCCAAATGTTAAAGAGCTCAGAACTTCTGTTTTGTCTCTAGTTAGATTTACTTAGCCTATGTGTGTATTGAATCATGTAAATCAGCTAAAGTTGGATTTATTATCATATCTCATCGACATGGCAGGATGAAATGAAAGCTACACAGGTGTGTTTTTGCTGGTCCCTTACCTTTATAGTCTTCTAGTACACAAATTGTACAGAACAAAACAAAATATAATAGAACAAAACGTCCAGAAAATGTTTTGTGAATGCAACACAAAAGGATTAGACTTTCTGAGCCCTGTGCGCCCTCTTGAGGAACACAACTGAACAACAACTGAACTAGTAAATCTTTTTTACATTGCAGATACAATACTGTTACACTTATTGAAATTATTGATTAAAGATGTCAAGGATTATTGAAAGCATTTTTAGAAATAACTGAAAAGATGCTACCTGTAGTTTTTTTTAAAACGAACCATTAAAAGAAATCCATGACTTAAATGTGAAATAGATGTTAAAAACCTAAACTTGTTTCATTCCAGCTAGTTGCCAACATTACTCATTTTAGTTTAGTTGAAGTAGGCCTACTAGAATAACAAAAGAAAAAAAAAACTAAAACTTAATAAAAACTATTTAGACATAAAATAATAACTAGCAAATTACAAAAACAACAAAATTACAAAAACTTCATTTTAAAACGAAAAACAAAAACTAATTCAAAATATTGACAAAAACTAAAATAGTAATGATATGTAGCCTACTAAATATATAGGGGAGACCAGGGAGTGTAATACGGGGTCAGTTGTAGGCTAACACTGTCAGTTTGACAAGTCAGAAAAGAGCTGTGGTGATGCCATCAATATCATACACTCGCATAACTGTTTTGAGCTCACGGGATTAGTAGCATGTTACTGTGAGCAACATTGTAGGCCTACATTTTACAAACAAAAAACAGATTTTCAAGAAGGAAAGTAAAACAATTTATCAAGATTATTGTTTGCCTAGTAATCATTGAATTGTAGATACAGTTATTTGACTTGCATAATCTAAAGTAGGCTAGCTATTTCTCTAGTTTAATTTGATGCTTTGCATTAACTTCAAACCCACATGCTAAAGCAGTTAGTTATGGTAGCTAAGTTGTGGCTGTTAGGGGTGGGGATAGTTGTAAGTTCCTTAAAATGTCACAACCAACCCCTTATGATGATTCCAGTTATAAATCACATACCTGTTAAGACAAAATCATGTGAGTTTTTTGTTGTGCATTGGAAAATGTATGTGATAAATATGTTTCCTTTATAGTTTATGTGCATGTAGCCTATTCTTATCAGACAAAATATTGTCCGCCTCAATTGAGCGCATACATTTTGTGTGTGTGTGTGTGTGTGTGTGTACATTTTTAGGA